GAAGTACTCATTAAAGTGTTCGGCGATGTCCTTAGGTTTTGTCAGTATCTTACCGTTAGTCTCAATGAACGTTGCGGTTCTACGTGAATTTCTACCGAGTATGCCGTTAATTACTTGCCAGAGCTGTTTGCTGTTTTGGTCTCTACAGTGTGTTTCTATTAATTCTTTGTAGTGTTCTTTCTTCTTCTTCCTGTTTTCTCTAACTACCACATTTCTCAGTCGTTTGTAAATTTCGTGTTCTGATGGAAGACCAGGAGACTGCCACGCTCTTTTAGCGTCATCTCTCATGTTCATTAGATCTCTGAGGTCCTCATCGATCCAGTGGGCCGGTGATGATCTCACAGATCTCTTTCGGACGGGGGCGACTTGTGAGAACAAGGACATGAAACAACTTAAGGCATCGTTTACATCGTCTTCATTATTTACAAGGTGCCAAGGCACTAATGCGATGTCTTAAAGGAAGTTAAATTGGTCTAACCTACTGTAAGAGCGTTTAAGAGTGATAGTAGGGTGTCCCTTCGGTACTTTGGTTTTACGTGTAGTATGGACTAGGTTATGGTCTGTGTAACTTACTCGGTTGGGTTAAGGCAGCCTATGGCATACTATGAGTAGTATTTCATACATATGCCTGTAACTTTTGATAGCTTGGTCGCACCACAACTAAACTTCACAAAGTTCTAGTAGTACTTGAAACACATTGAATAAAGGTTATTTTGTTTTTACTACTTCTGGATTTTTGGGTTAAAAATCAACATTTTGGTTAAAAAAAATTGTTTACTTCATGGCATTACGCGCAAGCGGTAACAACACCGTTCATCATGATATTTTACAAGTAGAAAGCCCCCTCCCTATTTATTATTTTTGTCCGAGGCTATTTTTGTGTTAAATGACAGTTACATTGTTTTTTGGGGCCAAAAACGACAGAAACAGTTATTTTTATGTCATTTTTCGTTAAAAAATCGCCACAGTTGAAAAATATCGACTTATATGCAAGATAGCCTCGGACAATTTTGATAAAAAAGTGATAATACGTAAACATGGATTACTCTAAAGATTAATTACGCTGTTTTCAGCTGCGCGTAAAGCCGTTTAGGTCATACGCCGTGAATAAAATGCGTAACAACGCGGGTTTACAGGGGAAACATACAAATGACCGCGAGTGACCCCGAATTCGAACACGCGTTCTATTCGAATGACGTCATATCGAACATGGTGGAACATGATTCGGGTTCGAAACATGTTTGTGGCAATCGTGCAGACACACGTCCGAACTCGAACATGAACACCAGCCTAGGCCGCCTTAACCCAACCGAGTAGCGGGACTGATTTTGTGTTGGTGAACGTGTCTGGTTTATTAGAAAAGATAAGATCTATGCATGTTCTAGATATGTGATCACCGTTAGTCTGAGCTATTCATGTCGCCTGCTTAACTAATTGCTGCATGTTGAGTGCGGACGATTCCAAGTGAAGTCTTCCCCTCAGGGGGCAGCTGGTATCAGACCAGTTGATGTTAAAGTCCCCTAAAGCTCTGACTTCCTGATCGCCAAGTGCTGCTGTGTCAAGCATTTGTGTGATTTTGTGTAGATAGTCAATTTTGGCGTTCGGTGGTCTGTAAATACATCCTACTGAAATAGGCTTGACAAAGGGTAGATGTATCTGTACCCAAATTGCTTCGATTTCTGGTTGTTCTAGTTCAGATTTACATTTGCTACGATAGTGCTGCTGCTGTCAGGTGATATTCACTCCAACCCTGGCCCGATAGATCTAGGTCTTAGTCGTAAAGGACTTCACGTCGGCCACATTAACATAAATAGCCTAAGGAATAAAGTGCACAAATATACTCCATAAAAAACATAAACATAAAGATGACATAAAGTATAACATAAATATAAAATGATTTTTTGTCATTGTCAGAGAAAATGTACATCTTTGACTGCTGTTCCTAATGATGAGACGAATGAAATTTGTGTTTTTTATGGTGTATATTTGTGCACTTGGAACGACAGTCACCATATTGACATACGTCACTTTAAAACTGTTTATTTTGCTTTTTTTTCAAAAGTCGACAAAAATGTAATTTATTGGCACAGTTACCCGAGGTACTAAAACCAAATGACCTAAGATTTGGTGTGGGGTAGCTTAGAACACATGCGTCAAGAACGTTATTTAAAAGACTATTACGCACAATCTTTGATTATATGTAACTGGCCTTTTTTCGGAACGGGATTTTCCAGACAAAAATGTAAGTTTTTAGTAACTGATTTCTGCTGAAACCAAATGATGACCTGAAACAAACTTGCTACAAATCTATATATGAGGATTCTGTAAATATTTGTTACAAAAAATCTAATGGGGGTTTCGAGAACAATTTTTTTTGAAATAGGAGATATTAAAACACTTGATACGCCATGTTGATGACATTTTCTAATATAATTTTGCACAGATGTGATATTGAAACATGGGAGGGGATGAGATGTCTGCTCCCCGTCCTCATTAGATATGTTGTATTAGTTACCGACCAAATGTCAGATTCTCTAGTGAAATTATGAAATTCTTTAATTCAAAAGCAGCATTGCGATTAGTCTAATTTATTGTGTGTGTAATTTTCTAGACTGGGGGCCCGCGTCAACATTGATGTCATATGACATCTGAACGGCTCGAGCTAGAAGCACCAAACTTTTGTGACTTTAGGTAAAACAGTTTGCAACAAGGTCATATTATTTATAATAAGTTTAAAGTTTATCTGAAGATTTTTGAGTATCTTTAATCATTGAATTTTAGAAAATTCAAGATTTACCATCCAATATGGACGGTAGCTTAGATGTGTATTGCGTCATTTTATGATGACATTTTGACGTGTTGTTATTACCTCCATTACGACATGTGGGTTAGATTTTTAGTTGCGTTTGTCTGTCCGTCTGTCAACAAGATAACTCATGAATTGATTGGTTTCAGGTTTGGTGTGTCGGTAGGGTGTGGCAAAAGATGGAAATAAGATTTTGGGCCCCCTAGTGGCTTCCCTTGGTACTGCAGCGTAATTTCCGGTTTTAATATCTCGCGTTCTAGACATGCTAGGGTCATTAATTTTAGAACATAGGTAGCTCTTGTCCTCGGAAAGTAGTCACATGGGTAAGAGCTCCCTAGCTAGTTGTTCTGGAACTGCAGGATGATTTCTTTGAAAATATTCGAGAGGATGACGGAACAACCGTCATAAGTTTTAGTATGTACGTAGCTTACGTGATGGTTGACATAATTATGATATCATTATGCAAATCAGGATCTAATTTTTATATATTTATGAGAAACTTCTATAAATCCGCTGTATTCCATATTAGGGCGATGAAACACTTTAAACATATGTAATTAAGAACGACAACATTATTGGCAGATATTGATTATGTAAATTAAGACCTAATTTGCATAATTGAAGGAAAATTGGTAAAATTGTGATGATAACTGCCGGGAATGAAATACTTCCATAATTGTAAGTTCAGGGAAGGTGACCATGATTTGCATTATTTATTGGAAACGCCAGAATAACCTTATTTCTTATCATAACCCTGTTATTTGGGTGTAGAATATGATCAACCTATATAATATATGCAAAAGGCCTCTTAAAATATGCATAATCTCAGTGAAAAATGTATAATTAGTCAGCTTGGACGGCAAACATGAGTTGACAAAGGTATGTGAGAGGGCGTGCTTGCATGTAACTAACGATATCGTACGTTGTCATGTTAAATGATAATGATTACACCAGTGTGTTGCATGTTACCAGGTAGGAGCTATGTGAATACTTTGAGCAGGATTGTAAATGTACCATTTTCAGGTGGCCATTACCATGCATAAGATTTACGTGTCATGGAGGTATGAGATCGCCGAAATCTAGTTTTTGGTAAGTCTTTTCAGACCTCATTATTTTATTGAAACATTAACGTTATAATGACGTCAAAGTATGTCATAAGCACACCAAAATTATTATAATCTAATATTACTATTAAAACACCCTCTGTAAATTTGGTGGTCATACGTCATGCCATTATCCCACCCCCACAGTTCCACAAATACACATGGAGTCCAGTGTAAATAGCGTTGAATGTGTTTCGCTGTTACATCAATGGTTGGTTGTAAGAACGAAACATACCATGCCAAAACAATGCAAAACGGACGCCATAGCAATTGACTTTTCATTACCTTCGCGAGAAAATGTGATTTTTTCGTTGCCGTGCGCGTGTGTGTGTGTGTGTGTGTGTGTGTGTGTGTGTGTGTGTGTGTGTGTGTGTGTATGTATGTATGTGTGTGTGTGTTCTGGTTTGTGTTTGTTTGTATGTGTGTATGTGTGTGCGTACATGTGTGCGCGTGTATGTGTAACAGTATAGCAATAAGGCTCAGATGGATTATCTTCATTTGATAGTAGGCCGCTAGGATCTTAATGAGATCGCAAAATGAATAGATTTTGGACTCCTGGCGACTTGTTATGGTACAGCAGCGGTTTTCATATCCCGTGATCTGAACATATTAGTGTCCTCGGTTTTTTTAGGGTGGTAGATAGTTGTGCTCAAGAGGAAATGACGTAAGTTTGGGACCCCGTGTAGCTTGTTTGCAGGGTCATTTATCATCTGTTTAAAATGTTTAAAAAAGGACGAATCAAAAACCAGATAAAGGATTTTTGCATGAAGGTACAGCAGCTTCAGTGATGCTTGACATAAATAGATAAATAGAATAATAAATTAAGACGTTTTAGAAATCTACTGCGTTTTATTAAAAGACAATTCAAACTTTAGGCAAATCTGACCAAATGTGTTTGGCTGTAATTTCAAGGGTTAGTTTAAACAAGTTGTTTAATGTTTGTATAATGTAGCCAGCTGCCACTGCGCCGCATGCCTGCGAATCTGGCGTACAATGCCGAAATGCAGTTAACTGGCTATATACAGATAGACATATGTCATAAAACTGATTTAGTGCAACAACAATGGAAATAAAATAAAATCATTACATACCCACTGCTATGGCCAGGATGACGGCCAGGACCAGTGTTGGGTTCCCCATCGCTGTTGGTTGTCCTGGGAAGTACATTTAGTTTAGTATTAATTGCATGTATGACAAAATCAACTAGCGCACAAACATTTACTATTCATGTCAAAGAAAGAGTTGCGTACGTAAATGGTATGTGTTAACAAACGTGGAAATCTATAGAAAACCTCAAAAAACAATAAAAAATTCATTTTGGGTACTTAATATATATTACTAGTACCTACTTATTCTCTTCGCCCAAGAGTCGTACCCTAAAAAGCCACCCGGAATCTTTCTAGTAACTATTGCATTTTATTGCTTTTTTGCATTTTTAGAATCGCTGCTCCATAAATGCCAATATGGGTATTGTTTTAACTTAGTATTTGAATAAGTACTCAGTATATTGGCTTTAAAATCCTTTTAGGCCTCATAAACTTCACGTCATGCCTTCAATTGTGTCGGCAAATCAGGTCAATAGAGAAAAACAGATTCCAAAGCTAACAATGCCAATACATATGAATAATACGTGAAATATAAACAAAAAAGACTTAAAAGAATGGTGTGAGTTTAGTGAAAGACGAGTGACGCCAAGGAAGGTCGAATAATAACAAAAATATTATTTTGATATCCTAGTCCGTTCTGGTAAGTTTATTAAATAAGAATCGGGTGCAGCAAAAAGGGGTCACTGCGGTCGGTTCCTAGTCTTTCCCGCTGCTTGACGCGTTCCACAAAGTGCCAGGAACATTTGAGCCAACCGTAAAACATGTTAAAATAAGAAAAAAAAAATATCGGCTTTCACATGACTCTAAGGGGCTTGCGTATTATGGGCGGCCGCCATGTTTGTGATGCTCAGTGTGCTTCAGTGCTGTGTCAATATTTGTACCGAAGCCATTACATACAAGTAATTAAAAGCTACACGATAATTCCGTAGTCTTTGATAGTTGACAGATCACAAGGATTTCAATGACATTGTCCCTTTTTGTAAGAATAGAAAGTCAAAGGATAAGGATGACAAAGGATATAGGACGACAAAACTTACGTCTGTGTGAACGAACTTCAAAGCCTATCTCCTACAGGAGTCCTACAGTAGACAGCAACCGTATGTCTGTTACTCTAGTCTCATTTTTTAAATCAATAAATGAATTTAAAGAGAAAGAATTAGTTCTGAGAGGTGTGCCTTGAATAGTTCTCTGAGCGCGTGTGTCTGATTCCTTCTCGTGACAAACTCGCGAAGCGGAATCGTAAACAACAAGTTCGAGTGGAGCGGGTGGGTTATCCTCAATTAATGGTAAGCCTAAGTTTCAGCTTTTCTTGATAATGAAAACCCTTCTTTTTACTAGAGATTGCATGTAAATAGTTAATGCATGTAAATAGTCATGTAAAAATCCCCTCTGTTTTTAAATGATTTATGCTGTATGTTAAGTGTAAATATGTAGGATTGTGTCTGTAATTGTGATGTTACATGTATTTGTATTGGAACCCTGGAAGAATAGCCCATAATGGGCTAAAGGGTATCTCAATAAACTGAAACTGAAATTGCTGATTTTAAATTTATGGGTTCTGTGTCAATATTTGAAATAGTAACAATGCAAAAGGTACTAAGTTTTGATCCATACCAGCGACTTTGCTGTGTACTTTTAATCTAGCCCTTTTGGTTTCGCCGCTGTCCAACTGGAGTTCATGAATATTTTCAAAGTACCAAAAGTACCAGCATGTCTCTGTTGGAAACTTATTAGAATATCCCATGACGGCTTGTGATCCATGTCGACAGAAAGTTTGTTGAATTTTGTTTACCGCCCAGAGTTTGCGGGAGTAAATTATCGGAGTTGGGAGGGAAGCCTCCTGGCATTGTTTACCCAAACGCAATTGTAGTTGTACTGTAAAAAGTTTTTAGGTAACATCTTACAAAATCTGCATAAACAAGATTGTGACTATTCTAATTAGGATATTGGGGTAATTAAGACAGTTTTGGAAGCATCATGCTGCTTGAATACGGTGAGCTGGTGATAAATACCAAAGTAAAAAGAATTACCATTTTTAAGACCACCCAGGATGATCTTAGTAACTTCGTTTAATATTACATACAGAAAAAAACTGGTGACATAGATGCACTGTCTAGAAAACGGTTTATGTTTGTAAAAAGGTGGATTTTTTTCTGTTTGGAGATTCCCATGTAAAAAAAAGGCTTGAAGTAATGATCGCGCGTAACCCCAGATCGAACTCCCCCGTTTGGTTTGGATTACGTCGTATCAAACATTATTCAGAACGTTGCGACTTTTTAGACCAAACTTGACCACCATGTAGAGTCGATTCCGCGTCACCGAGTGGGTTTTTTCTCCATGTTTCTAATACGTTTGAATTATTTAGAAGAAAAGAATACCCTAGTAACAAAAGTTCTAAATTTTTCAAAAATTTGAAAATGAAAATTTGAATATATTTGAATTCATTTATATATTTCTGAAACATTTTGAAAGTGACCGTACAAAGATCTCTTTATTTAGAATAAATTTGAACTACCAATTTGTTTCTTTCACTATTCGAAATATTTAGAACTATTTTAAACAAATGAAAAATGGTAGATGTGGGTAATTGCCCCCATAAAAGTAGGTGCTAATCCTACTCTTCTGTATTCTTCTGTATATTTTTAGATTTCACTGCTGGACACTGGTGGCTCTTTTGTTGTAAGGCATCAATGCCTGACACCCAGGCAGTCTACCCTGTACTTCACAGGGATGTGTGAATTACTTCCTTCCCATCGCACTGACCTATTTACAAAATGTTAGAAATAATTCGAAATAATGGTGAAAAATGGTAGAGTGCTGTTAGAAATATTTAGAAACTATTGGAAATGTCATATTCCACATCAGGAATATTTCAAACGTTTTAGAAAACCAGGGAATTATTTAGAATATTGACAAGATGTTCAAAATATTTCCAAATTATGACATTTCTTAGACAAACAATTACAAAGAATTCAAAACATTTCTAAATAATTACAATAACAACCCACTCGGTGACGCGGAATGGACTCTAGTGTGGCTCGGTCAAAAAATCATCTGTAGAATTCTAAAAACTATGACGGCGAATAATAACTTGACCCAGTCCGCTGATGCCGTGGTAAACAAATGATTGATGCATTTTGCGAAAAAAAATGATTGTAACTGACTAGACTCAGGAAAAAGATAAAAGTGCGCGTGCCTTAGAAACAACAAGACGATGAACGGATATCGGACGGACTCTTACGGCTCAGGAATTCTAATGACGGAGCCAACAGTACTTTGCACCGCATGAAGTAGCAGAAAAACCTAGTAAATAATTTCATCAGGTTGGTAAATGACTGAATAGCAAAGTTTTTTTTTTATCAGAACCATTTATTTTTCAAGCCGACGTTGCGATGACCTTCTGTCATCTTCCTTTAGGGCAATTCTGATAAGGGCATAAGGTTGTGATAAAAATAATTCGCTATTCAGTCATTTACCAACCTGATGAAATTATTTACGGAGGTTTTTCGGTAGCATAAAAAAAGTTATCCAAAGGTAAGAGCTGATAAGAGGTACGGTTTTCAATAGTGAAGGACCACAAGTTAATTCACTTCGACACTGTCAAACTAAAGTAAGGAGTGACTCACAATTAGGAAAAACGAATATACTTCAATTAAAGTTGAGGCCGCGTCATCTTTTGACGCCCTCTTTGAAATCGCCATCTGCGGAGATCGATTGAACTGCAGACGAAACATTTATAAACCAGTTTCGTAAAACGGTACAGTTATACACAAAATCCTTTATAAGCCAAATTATACGGACCCAAAGCCTGCCATCTTATATACAACACAGTTCAGTTTACACGGTACAGCCAACCTCCATCATATCTTTTTTTTTCTTTTAGTTGGGCTTCAAGAGTTGTGTCAGCGCTATTTTATTTACCGAATTAAAGACCTCAAGAGGTTGCCAATATAATAATATAAAGATGGTGGCTAATTTAATTAGGCCTACCCCTAGTGCTGTTAAGAAATTAGCGGTGAAATTCACTGAAAAATGGTGACTAGAACCATACTGTTAAAAAATGATTGGTAAACGATACGAATAAAGGGTTACAACGACTGTCGATTGATTTAGCAAACTCAGGCTGGCACGGTTAAAATTCAGCGCTGAATTCCAAGGAAAAAGAATGGACAATGGCTAGTCTGTTCTTATTAAGTAATTTTGCCTACATAACAGTCACATTTCCCGGCAGAAAAAGCTGCTAAGTCAGTTAGATTTACGAAATCAGCGCTGTTAACGCACACAAAATGCACAAAATGTGAAATAATTCAAACTGAAGTCGATGCGATCAAGAGTAAATAAAAGGTAGATTGTTACACCCAGGGTGTGCAATTTTGCCATACATAGGGCCATGCTAATTTAATCATCTAATGACATCCGTGCTCGAATAAATTTCCGTCCATTTCTCCCGAAACGTTTTTGATTACTCGAAAAATCGGCAATATAAAATAGTGCTGACACAACTCTTGAAGGTAAGACATGTGCGATCAATGGCATACTATGGAATCATCCTGGAGAGAACCTAGTGCTACCTATTGTTTAGAATACTGTGAAGAAGAATGTAATAGTGTAAGGCTTTCAAATGCGTCTATAAACGGTTTGAATTTGTTACAAATAATCTGCTTTCTTCAACTTGACGTCATTGGGCAAAAAAGCCGCTGTACCTCCCATTTTCATAGAAATTATATACAGTAAATCTGGTATATCTCCTGCCGACCACCTTAATTTTGCCCAAAGCACATCATCAAAGACATCCGCACATAGCGACATAAGAAATAGCCCATTAGTACGAGCAAGTGGCTGTGCTTGTGTAGTTATAATAAGTTATAAATGCTCACCTGGCTCAAATACAATGCAGCCAAGAAGCCAACCAAGGACATTCGCCGATGAATCAGACGACGACCCGCGCCGATGAAGCCGACAAGGAGCTGCGCCGATGAACCAGCCAAGGAACTTCGCCGATGAATCAGACGACGAACCGCGCCGATGAAGCCGACAAGGAACTTCG